GGATAAAACCTAAACGATACCCATCCCTACTCTCAACAGATTCTGTCCATTTTCATGTGTTTGCTCACACTTTCCAGTGAACATGTTTACGATATACGATATTATCACAATACAAATTTATTGTTTTTCTTAAATTTTGTGATATTTTGAGTATTGCAGTAACATATTGTGACTAAAATTGCCTTTTTCCAACTGCAGATTAAGTCCTCAGACTTTGTCAATAACTTAATTTTATTGGATAAAATGGATACATCGGTTATCTTTTTGATGCAAAATGAAATTTTGAGCATACGGTCACTGCTATAACCTGCTATAAATGTTACTATAAGACAGTCAGTCTGATATCAGTCTGTGATTGAATGGAGTCAAGTTGGCAGTTAAAAGCACTCTGCTTCTGATAATGCAGACATTAACTGTAAAAAATCACATAGCTGTTGCCGTCTACATAGATAGAAATTCACATTGGACTGTTACAGTTGTTCTCCGCATCCTTCCGGTCTTATAGGAATATAATCAGAATACAGGCGGCTGAGTTGAATCCCCTTGAGTTGTGCTCATTGAGAATCCTCATTAACACTGATGGCAACTTTTTTGTTTTTAAACAAACCTTCAACAATCTCTCTGAGACTGATTGGAGTCAGTCCAAGTCAGACTGCAACTGTTTGCAGAAAGGTTGCCTTTTACCTCCAGGTTTGGGCAACCATTTGGTCAGCACAAGTTGCAAGAATGATGAACAAAAATCAAAACCAGATAACCAGGCAGACTAGTATTTATTTTGTAGTTGTTGGTAGCTGTAAGGAGTTGGCTGTCATATTTCTACTCGTGTGACTGAGCCATCAGCCTCCAGCCTTGGATGGTCTGTCAGTTTGGTTTCATTAGGCAAGGCAAGTTTATTTATATAGCACAATTCAACAACAAGGTGATTCAAAGTGCTTTACAGAGACATTAGAAACAAAAACAAATAAAAAGCATGATTTAAAATTGATTAAAACAAACAAACAAACAAAACAGTATATAAAATCAAAACAGATAAAATCAGTAGTTAAAATGTAAGTTTTGAAATTTACTTTTAAGTGTGGATTTGGTGTTTTATTCAAATGCAGCTGAGAACAGGTGAGTCTTCAACCTGGATTTAAATAAACTGAGTGTTTCAGCTGATCTGAGGCTTTCTGGGAGTTTGTTCCAGATATATGGAGCATAAAAGCTGAATGCAGCTTCTCCGTGTCTGGTTCTGACTCTGGGGACTGATAAAAAACCGGATCCAGATGACCTGAGGGATCTGGAAGGTTCATACTGTATTTTGGTCCTAAACCATTCAGAGCTTTATAGACCAGCATCAGAACTTTAAAGTCTATCCTCTGACGGACAGGCAGCCAGTGTAAATTAATGTAAGTTTGCTCGGCTAACGTTACCTCAAAATGTTGGTGCATGAGAGGAGCCCTCTTCTTCACGGTATTCCCAGAATATTTTAATTTACTTAATAAAACATAGATGATAACGATATCACGACCCAAAATATTGCAATGCCATGCCATGCCAATTTATATCAACGCCAGCGTTAATCGCACAGAACAGTATTCACGAAGACAGTCAAACCTGCTACAACACTTGTAAGTGCACAGTAGTAATTAATGTTAATGATTTATTCATTGGAAAGCGATCAAATTTTAATAAAGAGCCGGGACATTTTCACTCGCAGGACAGTAGACGGTTGAAGCAGCGCTGTGCATCGTTGTCTACACCCGGACGTGTTGATCCATTGTTTTTAAGTTCGCGTCTGAAGTTGGAGCGAACTTTTTATTCCTAACTGCTTACAAAGCAGTCTTTCCCACAGGATGTAAACGTGGCATTTCTCTAATTCCCATAATGCATAGCCACGTACTTCTCATTCCCGGCCATCTGCCGCTTCTTGGATTCATTTGTAACGCGACTAGAGCTGGCTTCCAAAACACACAGTTCATCATTTATCTGAAGCATTTCAGTGATAAATCTCAGAGTTTGGAGCTACTGTTGCTTTAAAGTGTGAGGAATGGAAATGTGTGCACGCAAACATACACAGAGCACAGATTTCTTTCTTTTTTAAATTTTTTTAATATACAAAAGATTCAAATGACTTGATTGCGATGATAAAACAGAGCCTGTAATTTTTGCCTCGCAGACACGCCAACCCCACCCTGATATTGCCTCTCAGCTTTGTTATTAACCCCCCGTGTCTTCACCGCATCTCAGCATCTGTCTTTTGCCCGCACTCTTCCCGTTGCGAGGAGCAGAGGTAAAAACTTATTTTCATAGCTCTCGCCGTGGATGCATTTAAAAGCAAAGCCATGCTCCCATCAGGAAACCCAGGAGTTATAGGCCTTTCACTTTATTTTATTTTTTTCTCTCCAGCAGTGACTCATCCTCCTCCTTCGTGTGTCATAACAAGAAAGGAATGAGCGGTGAAAGCTGCTCTTTAAAGACCTTCTGGATGGCACGTTTAGTTTCATTTTTAATACGTAAACGAGCCCGAGATGAAAGAGTGGAGGTGAACGTGGTTGCGTGAGAGTGTTGAGAGTTTACTTGGTTAAGACGGTGACCTTCAGAAGCACTCCTGTGGGCGTGTTGAGGTTTTTTTTGCAGCTTTATCTGCGTCTGTTTGTTTGTCCTTCAACCAGTGACCTCGGCACGAGTGTATGCGAAATATTATGTTGGATTACATGAATCACTAGAAGTTTACACTAGCCCTGCTTTTGCCTTTTTAGTTTAAGCCGGATGACCTGACAGACGGGCCGCTTTGAGGCGTGGTAAACAAAGGTGTGACACTGAAGTAAGATTCTGTCACTCCACCCAATAAATAGCTGCTAAATGTCGAATTGTTCATTTTTTTATCATATGCACATGCAAACCGTCTAATATCAGACAACAGGGAAAAGTCTTTCCTTACCTCGAGCTATTATGTCATCGTTTTACCTACAATTTCCAGCTCAAATACGCTGCTTTTTAAACCTGGGAATTGGTTTAAACAGATCCTCGAAGTAAACAAGACCTTTTTGCTCACAGCGACACACAAATAGGCCTCAAGTGATAGACGAAGACGAAGACAAGTGAAGGAAAATGCAGATAAGCTGCCGAATGAGGAATTGTGTATCTGCTTATGAATCTGCTGAATCTGAAGGCAAAGGGAAAGATGATTGGTGCACAAAGCTTTCTGGTTTCTGTTTGTCTGGTTGTAGTCCAGGTTTTTGACACTTGCAGGTAAACCGGGGAGCGCATTGATGAAAATAGGGCTTGCATTTCCTTAAATGTAATCTGGAAACACTCAACTATGGTTTGAAAAAGGAAGAAACATCTGTTAGGGTTCTTGAACGTATCCTGGCAGCCAGAGCTGAAGGTGTGAAATATAAAAAAGATGTGGGTGAAAAATATTTAACAGAAAGTTAATTCTAAATATACATCTTATATTTCCTTGTGTGATAAATGTTGGTGTGTGTGTGTGTGTGTGTTGGGGGGGCAGCATGTGTGGATAATTTTCAGCACCTCCCAGTTTCTTGCTGTGTGATTAATTCGCTCAAAACATTTTCTTCTGGTTTGTTTTCCCGTCAGTCATTCCCAACACCCTCAAGGTCTCCCCCAAGACCCCGCTCCCAGTCATCTCAGAGGGAAGTGACCTAACTCTCTCCTGCAATGTCACCCGGGAGCTCATCCACCCCACCTACCTGTCTGTCACCTGGTCGGTGAAGAAGGGGACGACGTCAGAGGAGATTTTGACGTTTGGTCCTCAGGGGGATGTGGTCACGGGGTCCAGGTTTGCCCGGCGTTATGCGGACGGAGGCATCCGATTGGTCCCTGGCAGGAATGGAGTGTTTGAACTGGTGATTTCCAGAATGACGACGTCCGATGAAGGGAATTATGAATGCAACGGGACGGAGTGGACGCACGAAAGTGGAGGAAATTGGATAAAAATCGCGGAGAGTACCAAAGAGATGGGAACTGTTGCGGTTACTCCTACAGGTAAGAGTTGCACTGTTGCACAGCTGATGCTTTCTTTTGGTTAAATTAACTATAGAAAAAAACCCTGAAACATGCATTGCATTTCACTGTAGTGGATGCATGCTGCCCCTAGCTGAGCCTGGTTTTGAAGGAGGTCACTTCCTGTTAAAGGGGAGTTCTTCCGTCCCACTGTTGTCAAGTGCTTGCTCACAGTTGGGGTTTTCTCTGTCTTATTGGTCTTTTTCTTACATTATAAACTGCCTTGAGGCGACTGTTGTTGTGCTTTGGCGCTGTATAAATAAACAGACTTTGAAATGTGTTATGAAAGATGTCCTGTATCTGTCCTTCTGCCAGTGGAGCTGAATCACTGTTAGAGAAGATGCTCTGCTGCCTGTGCAGTAAGTGGTGAAGAGGGCGGTCAGGATTTTACACGATTGTTCTGACCTCCTCTCACAGACAGAGACGGCCTTCCTTATTACTTCATTTAGTCTGATTGGCTGATCAGATGGTGCGCAGCATTGTGTTTGTGTGTGGCTCATGTGAGGTGAGCACAAAGGGAGACAGCACGGTTCCCTGTGGAGCTCCAGTGCTGCACAGAGTAATGCATGTGACTGTGGAGATGGTGGATGTGTGTTTACTGACATTTCCTGTAGCTTCTCTCTCTAAACGCTCTCGAGGAATCAAAGGAGGCGGTCCTCACCGTGCAGCTGTCTGCAGCATGTAGTGTCTCACATTCAGTCTGTATGCAAAATAGGGCTGCTACAAATGATTATTTTGATAGTCGACTAGTCGGCGATTATTTTTGCGATTAGTCGACTAATCAGATCATGCATCCATTCAATGTAAAACGTACAGCTTATTGCACCAGCATGCATCTGCTCTTATATAACTATCATTAGCTTACAGCTTTAAGTGTTTAAGGTATGTGCTAACTAAAAATAAAGACAAGAT